GTTGAGGGAACTATGGAATGGTCGAATCCAAGATTTGATGCGCTATGTACGTGACATTGTGCAATTAAGCTTAAGGCAAGTATGCACTTTTGTATACTTTACCTAACACCAATGCTTATACGATTCTCCAATGGAATTTACTGTAGGATGCGGTGCAGGAGGAACCAAAGGCCTGCCGCCTGTAGCCGTAGGAGATAATTAGGAGGGCGAGCGCTGTGGAGAAGATTTTGGCAAGGATCCAGGAAAACTTGGCCAGGACATCCATTAAAAACAAATCCTTATAACTCTCCTTGGAATCAAGTTTCAAGGATACGAAGGACAGATTTGGAATCAGTGATGAAATGCGCATTTTTCAATAATACGCTTACCGGATAGTTGAACAACTCTGTCTCGCAACTATTTTTAACAAAAACTGTACCTTCAAAATTCACCATTCTAAACTGAAATTTCAAGCTAAACGTTGGGTGAAAATTCCAACAATTTTAGTGAAATTTCTGGATGCGAAGTTGAAAGCATGAAATGGTAATAAGGAAATAGTGTTAACTAAGTTGCATGTGATGAGCTTTTGCTACTGTGTACGACCTAAAGGACGACATAGTTTCAATGGCATATCTTATGAAGTCTCTAATGTCAAAATTTAAAATTAGAATGGGTTTAGAGCTATGAGACAAACTGCGTATTGCATTTTAACACAAACCTCCAGATGTGTTCTTATGACATTTCAATTGCTTTTCACTGAATTAAAAGGTAAAATAATTCTTTATTTACTGTAGAACCTCTCCCTCTTTGAAGTGCATATTCGTTTTTATATGTCGAATATTTATTGCATCTGGTAGGGAGCGCTAACAGTAAGCTTTACAACGTGGAATTTGGCTCTGAACAGTCTTTGAAGACGAATGTCACCTTTGTTCTGGAATTATTCTCCGTATTTGTTAATGTGGTGGGGTAGCATAGCATAACATCTTGCGGTAGAAAGCGCCAATCTATGCTATCAGTTCGCATGACCATTACTCATCAAATTAGCATTGTAAGAAAGAGCCGATTTTGCGCTGACAGCTGGAACTCACGATCGCCTTGGGATTAAAGCGGCATACCTTTGCTGCAATCGTTCATGACACTTAGCGGTGTCGTTGGCTTCGTTATGATAGATTATTTGTCTCATCCTTTGAAGCTGTCTAATGTCAACTTGCAACTCATGTACCTCTTGCTGAAAGAATAGTGGATCTCTCCAATCTTTCGCAAATTTTCTTACGCAAGCTTAGACATCTCGGATATTTTCCCGCCTTTGGCAAACGTTTTGTTTCGCAATGTTTATACAGTGCAATTCCGCTTCAGTTTATTTTTATGACACGTGCCGTGTAAGAAAATTGCTATTGCACCCATGGATATGCCTCAAACGCATAAATCGCAACAAAGGGTGCCGGCAAATTTTTACGCGCTGCCTCAAGCGCATAAAGGGCTGTTCCATCAGCTGGTCATGTCATCAAAAGAATGGATGAGGAATCAGTTAGATGTTGTTCCGATACGGAATATTCCCAAGCAAAGCTCGGCACGAGGTGGCTTTTGGAAAATGCAAAAAACGAAGTCTCTATTGATTTTTACGAAGTCTGCTTTGAAACTAAACCCTAAACGTAAAGAAACCCGAGACGAAACGTCATCATTATTTTTATTTCTGTTCGGCCTCAAAAACGATATTGCTTTTTTCACAAAAACGGTATCCAGCTTGCTCACAAGCCACCTGTGCCGAGTCCTGCTCCCAACTTGAATCTTCTGGACAAAAAAATAAGAAGCTTAAATAACTCAAAGATTTCATATGCTCTTCGTTCGATTTCAGAGCAACCACAAATCTCCAAGTTACCTCACTTTTTCTACACTTCTATTCTTGCTAACTCTTGCGATGTGGGCTATTCGGCTTCGCTACTTTGCAAGATGATTCGTAGATTTTCGCAGAAATCATGATAAGCATAGGTGCTAGAGAATATAAGAACGCCCCTGATCGCTCTTTGCACAAAAACTCTGTCAGTCATTCCTCTCATAAGGCAAATGCAACATGTACACATGCCAATTGCTATATTTTGATTTATCTTATATATAACGCTGAATGTCTGTTTGTCTGTATGTCTGTCTGTCTGTACGTATGTTCCGAATAGAAAATTCCATTTCTGAACCGATCCGGACCAAACTTGGCACACATACACTTCGGGCCCCGGCGGGTGTCATAGGCTACTTTTCGTCATCGATCGATGTCGATTTTATCGATTTTTTGCAAAATTTGAGCTACGGGGCTGGGAGTTGGCAGAGGGGTGTAATTGAGCATGCTGATTACGAATAGATTACCCCCCTGTGCCAAATCCCAGCCCCGTAGCTCAAACTTTGCAAAAAAATCGATAAAATCGATATCGATCGATACGAAAAGTAGCCTATGACACCCGCCGGGGCCCGAAGTGTATGTGTGCCAAGTTTGGTCCGGATCGGTTAAGAAGTGGAATTTTCTATTCGGAACATGCGGCGGAGCCGGGTAAGCCAGCTAGTAGAGATATAAAAAAAAGAAAAACCAAAAATCAAAAATTCAGCAGAGCTTCATCGCTAGCAGTAAGGTTTGTCGTATAGACGATTGGATATCACAAACCTAAGAAATCAAAATTTCATTTGTGCCCTTTCAATTGTAGTACGGTAGCTCAATGGGCGGTGTCGTCAAGCGCGGAAAGGGCGTGAAAACGTCATGTTCATCGCAACGCACCTCATTGGTAAACTTCTTCAACCATAAATGGTGAGTGTTCCTAATCTCTGCTTTGCAGGTAAAAAGTTCCTGTTTCAACTAGAGTATTTATAGAACTTGCTGTGCAATAGGAATGATAGTGTACAGGAATTTCTTGTTTCAACTGAAGATTTGTAACCTGTTTTACTATTGAATGTATTAGGTTGTCCAAAAAGTAAACTCCTTTTTTAAATAATTTAAGGTGTTTTTCTTTCCCTACTAGACTTGCGGTATCACTCGATAGTGCAGATCAAGCTCTACAAAATGACCACCCACCAAGGATCCGTCTAACTCACATTCCACAAAGTTTGAAGCCAAAATTAAAAGAAATTTTGTAACCTGAGAATTGAATTTTTGCGAGAAAGACTTCTACGGACCTCCAATTGATCATTACAGATTAGGCACATATAGTGCTGAAAAATGCTTAAACTAGATTTTTCCGCGCATGGAAAACGAGAATAAAAGATAGCTAAAAAATGACAAACTCCGTCCCCAGTCCCACTCACATATGTCATCGCATACTACATGCTTTATTAAATATAATCTCAAAACATCACCGCTTTTATGTGCTATTCCAATTGAGAACTAGGTTTTATTATATAACTAGCTGGCTTACCCGGCTCCGCCGTATCCGGACCAAACTTGGCACACATACACTTCGGGCCGCGGCGGGTGTCACAGTCCACTTTTCGTTATCGATCGATGTCGATTTTACCGATTTTTATCGATTTTTTTGCAGAGTTCACCTACAGGGCTAGGAGTTGGCACAGGCGGGAAGTGAGCATGGGGATTCCGAATACAATATTAGTTTTCAGAATCATCGATTACTTTTATTAATTTTATCGATTTTTTGTAAATTTTGACATGCGAGGCTGGGATTTTGCACAGGGGGGTTATCGAGCATGCTGATTACGAACACTATATTAGTTTTCAGGATCGTCCATTACTTTTATCGGTTTTATCGATTTTTTTGTAAAGTTTGACCTGCGGGGCTGGGAGTTTGCACAGGGGGTAATCGAGCATGCAGATTACGAATACAATATTAGTTTTCAGGATCGTCCATTTCTTTTATCGATTTTATCGATTTTTTGAAAATTTGAGCTAGGGGGCTGGAATTTGGCACAGGGGTGTAATCGAGCATGCTGATCACCCCCCTTGGGGATGATCAGCATGCTCGATTACCCCCCTGTGCGAACTCCCAACCCCGTAGCTCAAACTTTGCAAAAAAATCGACAAAATCGATAAAAGTAATCGATAAACCTGAAAACCAATATTGTATTCGGAATCCCCATGCTCGATTACCCCCCTGTGCCAACTCCCAGCCCCGTAGCTCAAACTTTGCAAAAAATCGATAAAATCGATAAAAGTAATCGATAATCCTGAAAACCAATATTGTATTCGGAATCCCCGTGCTCGATTACCCCCTGTGCCAACTCCCAGCCCCGTAGCTCAAACTTTGCAAAAAAATCGATAAAATCGATAAAAGTAATCGATAATCCTGAAAACCAATATTGTATTCGGAATCCCCATGCTCGATTACCCCCCTGTGCCAACTCCCAGCCCCGTAGGTGAACTCAGCAAAAAAATCAATAAAAATCGATAAAATCGATATCGATCGATGACGAAAAGTAGCCTATGACACCCGCCGGGGCCCGAAGTGTATGTGTGCCAAGTTTGGTCCGGATCGGTTCAGAAATGGAATTTTCTATTCGGAACATACGTACAGACAGACAGACATACATACAGACAGACAGACAGACAGACAGACAGACATACAAACAGACATTCAGCTTTATATATAAGATATAAAAAACCTGAATAAAGCGCATTTTGGCATTTTCGGACCATCTTTAATTCTCAGCTTTGAACCCCGAAAAAAATTCAAAAAACACATTTTTGGATACTATATGTCTACCATATAAAAGTCCAATTGGAAGCCCGTAGGAATTTTGCGGAAGGAAATCTGATTTTTAAGGGAGGTGAAAATATTTGATTTTTGTGTCCATTATTTACCTGGATCACGACTTAGGCGGGTCTTTGGTGATCGTTTTGTAAAGCTTGCTTTGCTCTATCGAATGGTATCCTAAGTCTGCTAGGAAAACAAAAGCAGTTTGATTTATTTAAAAATGCGGTTTACTTTTGGGGACAACCAAATAATTTCCAGTTTCAACAAAAGCTTATAGGCATGCCGAGAAACGATGATCGGAAAGTTCTGCGTAAGTGCTCATTTCAGGTTCGCAGCATGGATTATAGCATTGGTCCAAACAATCCTTTTCATGATGTCGTGCCCACCTCCACGGAAGATTTTTCGATTCCCATTCTGGGTTGGTGTAGTTCAAATCGCAATTTTTTTGACAGCTGCGTTTGCGCAGTTTCCAGCAGTGAGTATATCTGTACATCAGAAATAGTAATTTTTAAATTTAGTTGAAATGGAATCTTTTCAGATATCGACAGTCGAATGAAGTTGATCGCGACACGACTATTACAGCTCTGCGATGGATTTGATGAGGAATTTTCTGAGGTAAAGCTTTCAAATGGTTTTCATGTATTGTTCACTATTTGCATTTTCAGCCATGTCGTCGCCACTTCCTTGGGATGTTACGCCTATGGCGCAAATCGAGTTGAACCCACCCTCTTAAAACTTTTCATAATAATTTTCACAATTTCTTTTGTTGTTGTGGTTGTACATTGTACATATACATAGGCTAGCAAATAAAATTGCAATGATTCCACGTCTTGTATACCTCCTTATCGATTCTTTAAATAATGAGACACATGATCTAATAATATGATTGAGAGCAGTATACCACCGCTGATTCTCGGAACTATTTGATACTAAATAAAATAAAAACTCTACAAAATATTACTTCGTAACAAAAGTTCTGTTACACTCAAACGCAAAAACGTTTATAACCTTTCTCAAAAAAAATTTTTCTCTCAATTCCAGCTTGAGTGGTTGGTTAGAGCTTTTCAATATATGCATGTCACATATGAGAAAATAAATTTTTGAACTTTTGAAAATTTTTCTGAATGATTTTTGACAAACTTATAACTTGCATTATTGAAGAGCTTAGACTTTCAAATTACCTTCATATTAGTACCAATGTCCCCAGACATAAAAATATGAGTGCCTAAAGAATAATAATGGTAGAATTTTTAAAAGAAAAAAAAAAGAAATGGAAATTCAAGTGCCGTTGCAAAATTGCCTCTATTTTTACTGTAATCCATGTCTGTAAAGGAGGAAATGATTCCAACAGTCCTTTGTCCATTGCTCATATGTACAAAATGTTAGACTTTACTAGAGTTTTTAGAGTTTTCTAGAGGAAAATGAAAAAATATAGTAAAACTTATATTAGGACCTAATATAATTTCAACGATAAATCAGGAGGATTTATTAGCTGTATTTTGCCTAGAAACATCGAATCCTATATTTCATTTCCATTGTTCCTCCACAATTCCTCCATTATTCAAATTTGTTGCGTAATGATATTGTACAAAGGCAGTCAACCCTGGATGCGGTAATGATTGAATCTCTTGTTGACCCAATTACCTCATCGAGTAGCTGGCACCAATGGCAGTGCTTATGAAATATTCAGAAAGATTTTCGAACTGGATCAAATTGGCATCGAATTGGGTTTCCCCATAAAATGCATATGTTTGGCATTTAAAACCTTTCAAGTCATTTGATGAGGGGAAATTATTGATTCAAGTCCCTTTTTTCGTTAATCTTCCGTAATAACTATGCAGGGTTCCCATTGGAAGGTCATAGCATTAGCTTCATATGAGTTGTTACCAAGTCAAGCTCTACTGTTAATTTCCACTTCATCCATTTATGACTTCGAGAAATCTTCTGGAAATAATTTTTCAATTCTGTAGACTTATTTCTGAATACATTCATGGATGCATGATCTTAGTTCTGGAAGTCAATTTTACCCACATTTGATCTTGCTTAAGAAACCATAAGCAGAGAGTAAATCAATTAGAGTAACATGACCAAAAAACTAGAAGTAAAAAACTATTTTTTCCCATTTTTGATTCTTCTCAAAATATAATCAAAGAGGCATTAACAAGATCGTAAGAGTGCCTATAAAACTGGAATTTTGGGCAAAGGTGAATGTAGGTGAAGTTGAAGTAATGTTTAATACCGAATTCCCTACGCTTCTTTTAAAACCACGTCCACATTTCATTGAGTTAGCGCAACAAACGCTACCGCTACCCTCAAGTTGTCAATCAAATCCACGATTGTCTGGAACCGCTTTTTTATGCTTGTAGCACTGTACTGATCGATACATAGGAAGCTCGCAATTTATTCTACTTACGAACGAGCCAAAAATAAACTACGCTCAGTTTACGCGGTCCATAAATTACCATTTCAGATCATGACTGATGGCGGTAAGTTTGACCATTCATCGAATGAAGAACAATGGTACCTCGTTTAGAGAGAACCGACAATATGAAGGTGCTGCAATGTGCCAGAAAATTTCCAAGTCTAGATTTTTAGTGTTTCAAACATTTCACTGTTTCAGACTTGCATTGACTACCTGTACGTAGCATTTACGAATCAGCTTCTCCGATTGTTTGATTTCTATTATGAACGCAAATTAGTACTAAAAAAGCTAAATTATTCTTGAATCTTGAACAGGGCTTGGCGCAGGTGCTTATGAGCAAGCTGGATATCGCTTTTGGGACAAAAAGCAAAGGGATGATCGTTTCTGCGGTCTGAAAAAACGCATGTTAGGTGAATTTTTTCATTCGACGTTTCCGATTTTAAGTCAAAGGGGACTAGTAGATTTTGTGAAAGTCAGAGCGGACTTCGTTTTTTGCACGAAAAGTCACCTCGTGCCGAGCCCTAATCTTTTACCATGCTAGATTTTGATAGTGAAGAAGGAGCCGAGAACTTGGGACAGCAATGCGGGATATATGGAGTACAATAACCTACAATAATTGAATACCTTACCATAAACAGATTGGATACCTTTTCACTATAAATTGCAGAAAACCGAGAATGGACTCGTGGATAAAATTAAATGATGGACGTATAATTAGATGTTCTTGCCAATTTAGTATAAATATCTCACCCCAAAGACTTACACGTGTTGTGTTAACGATTCGTGGAAACGGAGGTTTTATCACAATGCGGTATCTTTATTGTTGAGCCATAGTTGTACACTCGCTATATCTCAAAGAATGAAAATTCTTAAAAAAGGTAGTACATCCCACCTATTTTGCGTATACCCCAAAAATTATTGCGCTCACTCATTGAATATTTTTGGGATGATGACAGCAACGAAACTATCGAGGAGTACCGTTTCTGAAGGAGAATCACATGAAACCTTTCACTTTTCGGACTGTATATGAGGCTGAAGTCTGTGTTCATACCATATTGACCGGACGTACCTAATTCGAGAGAGACTGCTATTTGTAGCAATGAATGACGAAGAAATTACTAGGAAATACAGCGCTTTACAATGACAGAGAAGGTGCAAGCAGACTACATGTTTCTACTATTACTATGGGAATACAGCACAAATTTGTGGGAGTATTCTAGTACCGTTTTATAGCATAATTAAAAAATATGCTAAAGATTGAAGAATTTGAGCTGTGTTGCCGCACTCTTTTACATTGTTTTTTCATGTTTTCTCTAAGAAAAGGATTCTATGAAAGATATTATTCAATGTAACAAGAATACGTTTTATAATATTTGCAGATGCGCATAGTGTGTGCAGTCTCATGTACTATATTGTAAAACGATGTTTCAAAACATGCGCATAGCTAGCACTCAAAATGAAAAATATGCTTATCCACGCGACAGAGCTTTGCACCATTGCTTTGTTCCTTCACTCCCACATTCACTACACTGCATAATTATTCAACTAGTTACCATTCAGAATGAACGCAGTACGAAAATTTCCATGTTCTATTGAATTTGAGAGGAAAATAGCATTTTTTGCCGTTTTTGGTGATAAACGAAGTAGCGATCCATAAGTGAGACGGTGATAGAGACGGTGATATCTATTTCCATAAGTGAGACGGTGATAGAGACGCTGAGAAAAGGTAATTTCCGAATCTTCTCGCGTGCGTGTGGGAGAATTTAGAGAAAAACATGAATTTTGATTTCGCTACGCATCGGTGAGTGAACTTTGACGAAAAGTGGTGTTTTTTGATTTTAAGTAGTAACGAGAGTAGAGAAACAGTAACTTCTGGAAAAAGTAATTTCTGATTCTGCCTGATAGGGAAACTGACTTTCTGTCATTGTTCGTGCTGATAGAAGAGCTAAAGTGGTAACTTCTTCTTTTTTGTGATAAAAAGAAGACTTTACTTCATTTATCTGAGAAATTGTTTTTCTTTCACTTCAGATTTGAAAAGCCGATAAAAAATTGTTCAGTGTCAAAAAATGTAAATGAATGGTCAGAATTTCAAAAAATCTTTTCAAATGGTCTTCCAATTTCCTCATTAACCGCGCGTTCTGTTTGTCTCTTTGTTTTTTCTATTTTTTCATTGTTTCTTTTTCGTTTTTGATGTTTGCCAGTCGTAAACAAAAAATATATAATGACGTAAATAGATTTGTTACACCATTTCAGAGTCACCCCAAAGACTCAACGACCTTCAATCCATTTCCATGGTGACATGGGCATGTTCGCACCTCATAAAGGGCCGACGGCAAGACATTAGCGTATGAATAAGTAGAGCAAGGAGGAGCCGCACAGCGTACCATCTAGTCTTCTCGTATCTTTTGTCATCATTCATCAATCTCAAACTGATAACTGCTTTTTTGAAATGTCATGCCAATAAATATCGCGAGCCTTTTCCTCATATCAATGGAAACAAAGATCTTGATCTCGATATCAATCATCGATGAACCAACAGAATCTAGCGAAGGCCATTTGTTACCCGAGGTAAGAAATTCAAACCTTTCTAAGAATTTTATTATTAAAATATTATTATTATATTATTATATTAATAAGCTTTTTTTAAATTTGAATGTGCAAGATCCAACGGTATGAAAATTGTTCCAAATAGGTATAAATGAAAAGTATTCCTCATACATTCGCTTCAAAGTCATTGGTCCATTTGTATGGGTGCACTTGCACCCAAGTTCTGTGACCCAGGCATTTTCGCACCTCAGTTGACGCCCCATGCCCATTGTGCAAACTTCAAAAACAATTTTCAAATGTCCAAACTTGCATTTTAGCAGAAAAATTGCAAACAGCATGAGTCAGTCTTTTTTCTTAATAATCATTCCAAAGTGGAACGAAATTCCTTGCTTTTGGTTCTTTGTAGGATCCAATCTTTTCAACTTTCGAATTTTTCCTTCTTGCATGAGGTGTGCATAAAATCTAATTTAGAAAGATCAGATTAATCACTGGTTATGATTTACGGGCATGCATGCATGTCAGCATGTCAGCACTTTTAGCATCGATCATTTCAAGTTGGAAAAATTTATTCTTTCTACGAATTTTTCTTTGTAGTAAGTGTGCACAAAATCAATTGAGTCTATCATTTTATTTATAAAAATTCACAAGCTATGATCGATAAACAAAGCGAACGAATAAAATTAGAAATCTGTCATATACCAGTAATTGAATCACGAATAGAAGCCTTGATAAATTTCTACACAAATAATACAAACATTCTTTGAATTCTGACAGTCACATAAGTATCAATTAAAACCAGTCATCATCCTCTTCCGATTCGCTTTCGGTGATCGCCCATAGGGTCCGTTTTTTTCAATTTTTTTCTATTATATTTCCATCTCTGGCATTTAGATGAGAGGCATCCTCCATTGAATTTTTTCAATGTATCCGCGTCAAAGCTCAGGTATGAGCATCTGTCAGTATGACCAAATGGATTCTTCTAGCTCCGCAATTGTTGAAGGTGTTGACTACTGAAACATTTGAATGTAAGATCTAAATGCAAGATATAAGTGGGCTGACCGAATTTGAGTTTTCATACTGCCCTAAATCAATTCAATTGGGTTCAAATCGGGTGACTCGGGCGACCAGTTCACGGTCTTGACACCCCAGTCCTGTAGGCGCCCTGTCCTGTAGTTGCTCTTGCGCGCGGGGCATTGTCTTGTACCAATCTAGGTGTAAGAAGTGAAGTTTGATTTGGCTGGGTTAATGGTGCTTGATTAAAATGCGGAATCTGTTGTGATTGCACTTGAACTACTGTTGTTGGGTGGGAGAAAATTGGCGGTTGTTCTTAGAATTACGGTAGGGATGTGATACAAAATTATGTGGTTGCTCTAAGTATAGTGTACTTGGAGTTGATATAAAAGGTGTTGGTTGCTCTTGGACTACTGTGGTTGGATGTCGCACAAAAGTTGATACCTGCTCTTGGGATACTGTAATTGGATGCGGTACAGAACTTTGTGACTGGTTGTGAAGTACGGTGGTGGGGTGTGGTACAAAAGCTGGTGCCTGTTACTGGGTTACTGTAGTTGGCTGTGACTCACAAAGTTGCGGCTGGGTTACGGTAGTTGTCTGTGGTGCAAACGCTGGCGGCAGTTCTTGGATTGCGGTAACTAAGTTTTCGGTAGAAACAGAAGATTGTTTTCCTTGAAGTAAATGCTTATCTTCAAGTGGGGGCTCTGGAATCGTAAAAAGTGGTGGCTGAGGTGAATTGGCTTAGGTGGTACTTGTTTAGATGAATTTAGTTGAGTATCGACTAGCTGAGGCGACTTCGAATTGGATTTTACTAGGTGAGGTGAGTTGGAGCTCAATTTAGTTGGGTGTAATGTGCTTACGAGTGATTTATCCGGACTAGATGAGCTGAAAAGAGGAGAGGAGTTAAAAGATTCTAAAGAACTATCGGGACTGTACTACCTGCACACTGAATAGGACTAGTTGGGCGACTTTGTGGCTCGTCTTGAACAAGTTGAAGTTTATGTGGGAAACGTGAGTGTGATCTTTGTCTTCTTTTAGTTGATCCTCTCTCAGTTCCATCACAAGGCTTTGGGGATTGACTAGAACTACTGCTCATGTAATCTATCATACACAGAAAAAAAATTGTTTTTTTGGATCTGTCAGGTTAAAGGTCTGCAGGTCCTTTACCTGATGTGTAGCGATAAGTACATAAGTCTTATTTACTAATATTTATTATTAAGGATATATAGAGGGGAAGTGGGGAAAAGGGGAAGAGGCCGCAGGGGCAACCTGCTGGTAGCGGTCGTCGGGGGTCACTGTCCTCCAGCGGGCTTTACAACCCGCTCCAAGAGGAGGGACAGCTGATGTGGACCCGACATCTCCATTCCTTCGAGAAGCTCGTACTCGAGCTTGTGGCATGGCTGAGGTTTCGAGACGTTGTAGTGGTTGGCGTTGATGTGGTGGATGTTCTTCCGAGTGACGTGTGTTGAAGTGTGCACGTAGTTTACGGCGAGAACATACAATTGAAGTGTGATATATCGAAATATGGCAGAAGTTCTTCCGGGTAACGTGTGTTGGAATTTACACGTGATTTACGGCGAGAACATACAGTTGGCGTGATGATATGTTAAAATACATACAGAAGTGAGGATATGGATCCGGTGGACTTTAATAACTGATTTGGAAAAGGTGTGATTACTGGCCGAGAAAAATTTAGCGGTGTAAAATGCGGAATTTGCTGTGATTGCACAACTGTTGTTGAGTAAGGTACGAAAATTGGCTGTTTTTCTTGGATTACGGTACTTGAATGTGGTTGGTCTAGGTGTACTGTACTTGGAGTTGGTATAAAAGGTCTTGGTTGCTCTTGGACTACTGTAGTTGGGTGTGGGACAAAAGTTGGTACTTGCTCTTGAGGTACTGTAATTGGATACGGTACAAAAGTTTGTGATTGTTTGTGAGGTACTGTAATGGGATGTGGTACAAAAGTTGGTGTCAGTTCCTGGGTTACTGTAGTTGGCTGTGACTCAAAAAGTTGCGGCTGGGTTACGGTAGTTGGGTGCGGTACGAAAATTGGTGGCTGTTCTTGGATTACTGTAGCTAAGTTTTGTTCTTGGATTACTGTAGCTAAGTTTTTGGTAGAAACTGAAGATTGTTTTTCTTGAAGTAAATTCTTATCCTCAAGTGGGGGCTCTGGAGTTTTAGAAAGTAGAGGCTGAGGTGAGTTCGGCTTAGATGATACTTGTTTAGATGAACTTGGTTGAGGATCGACTAGCTGAGGCGACTTTGAATTTGATTTTATCAGCTGAGATGAGTTAGAGCGCGATTTAGTTGGGTTTAATGTGTTTACGAGTGATTTATCGGAACTAGATGAACTCAGAAGAGGAGAAGAGCTAGAAGATTCTATAGAAGAACTATCAGGAGGGGGTGCACTGCTTGCACGCTGGATTGGACTAGTGGAGCGGCTAGGTTCGTCTTGAACAAGTTGTAATTTATGTAGGATACGCGAGTGCGATCTTTGTCTTCTTTTAATTGAACCACGCGAAGTTTTATCACAAGGCTCAGGAGATTTACTAGAACCACTGCTCATGTAAATCTATATACACAGAAAAAAAATTGTTCGTTGATTTTTTTTTCAGAAGAAGCGCAGAAAATTTTGAGCTGAGAAAAGAAAAGAAAAAAAATTTGGGAAAGGGGAAAAAAATTTTTTTTTTCAAAAACTTTTTGATTCTACTGAAGTTTAACTTTAATATTAGAAGTCTATCTAGCCCTGAGAATGGAACGAGAGGAAGAAAATGTAAGAAAAGGTAAGAAAAATAAGAATCTAGCAATAGAATCGCACCTCTATCCTATTCGTCGTTCGTCCCAGTTACGGTAGATCGATGGGCTTGATTGGTCGCTTGACTACGGTAGATGTGGCTGAGCTGAGGACTTCGAAGAGAGAGAGACTTGACGACCGAACTGTGTGGGCACCAAGGGCGGAATGGTCCGAGCTAGCGCCGGAGGGGGCGGGTCAACAGAAAAATTACACTGGGTGAGCGGGGCTAGCCACTACAGTAAAAAAGTGTAAAATCAATGACCTGGTGTATTTAAAAATATATATCAATATATATATTCTATAATTACAATGGTATTTAATTAATTATAATAACGGGCTAAGGGTTGTTTACGTGTTTTTGTGTGTGTGTGTGTCCGTCTGTTACGAAATTCGTAGAGCGTGTTCCAGCCAGCGTTCTAAGCCCAAATTTTGCAAAGCGCATGCTACCTTCATGAAAGTCCAACATGCAAAAGCACGAGTAGATTCGTGGAGTGGATCCCTCAAAAACTGCGCGCCAAACGGGTCCATCTGGCTTCTGTGCCGCAAAATTGGGTCCGTATCACTACTTTTTGCAAAGTCGTGGATATGTTTGGTAAGCAAAAGTGCAAGCGATGGACTTTAGCTCGAAAAGTGTTCAAAAGTTCACTATATAACGAAAACGGCGCCAAAAAGCATTGGTTGCGTAAATGGTCAATTTGCCGAGGTTCTAGCTAAGCATTTGAGAAGATTTTCGCACAGAGATGTATCTCACGGTGACTATTGCCTTTATGACGACTACCAAACCATGACAAGTTCAAAAACCTATACAAATTTGCGTTTCTCTTCCTGCGAAAAGTTTCATCCACGCGAAATCACCGATTTCACGTGAAAAAACTTTTTGAATGAGTAGCTGTTTACATTTTATTTGTGGTAGTCGGCATAGCGCGGTGAGTTCCAGTACTACGATTTTACGAGAATGAGTAAGGCACATAGATAGTAGAGCCAGTGCGAGCCTCTGCGAAGCAGAGGTGACGCACTGGTTTAATTATAAATATGAATAAGAATAGTTATAACTAGTTATTGCTGTAGTTGCAGTAAATGGGCCGCTGCTGCCGTTTTCGCCCAATGGCGACGTCTGCTTCTGGAGGACGCTCTGGTAAGGTAAAATTTACAGCCCTGTGACATGTAAATTTACAACCCTCATACGCCCAAATATTATTGTATAAGTTAGGTCATCATTCTTACTTCTGCTCTTCTTATAGTCAACAGCTCCAAAAAGTGCTCTTCTCAGGTTTGTGATTTTAGTTGTTTAATTATATTTCCTTTTTTCAGATTTTATTCTCTAACACGCAAGAAAGGAAGAAAAAAATGTTCGCCAATGGACAAAACGATGCCGCGCGTCAAGCTGCTTGGGAGGTAGAGCTCGCAGCTCGTGGGGAGGCTAGAGAAGCCGTTTATAACGCGATGATGAACGGATCATCACCGTCGTGGGGGGATTTGGTGCGCAGCGTCAGCCTAGTCTCCGTGAGTTTTTTTTCCAATTTATCAAAAGAGAAAGAGAGAAAAATTAGAATTATCTAATTTTATCGGAAAAAAGAATATTTCACTCTATCATCTTGTTTTATTTTCTTTTACTGTGTGTTTTTGAGGAAAAAAAATGAGAGAGAAAAGAAATAAAAATATCTTATCCATTTTTTTTCGTCTTATTTTATCGAGAGAAAGGAAGAAAAAAAAAGGGAAAAAAATAGGCATCATTTTATTTGATTATCTTTATTCCTATTTTATTGTGTGTTTTTTTTCAGCCGCAGAGTTTCGGAGAGCATGTGGAGGACTTCAGTCCTCCAGCCTCCGGAAGGGCCTCTGTTGACCACACAACGGTGTTCAACGCTGCCACCCGGGCTGAACTGCATCTCACCGAATCCCTGGAAAGGATCGAGGAGCTGGAGGAAGAATTGCAGGTAGCCCGGGGACAAATCGATGCTTTGCAATGGAGCAGGGGGCTGCGCGACAGCCAATATAGGAAGTCGGAGTCCCTGCGCAAAGAGCAAGAAAAGGTATGTTTATTTACAAAATTAAGTTTGATCTAGTTTAGTGGTTTTTTTTTTCAATCTAATTTGCGGAGAAATGGAAAAAAAATAATTTAACTTATGAGGAAGGAAAGAAAAAAATTTTTTTTTAATTACTTATATTCAGGACCTGACTCGAATGGTGCGGGATCTGCAAACAGTTCATGAGGTGCTACCCAGAGCCCTCGAGGCGCACAGGGCCAAGGTCCGCTCGCTGCACCCAGAGGAAGAGGAAGAGCTCCTCCACCACTTCCTCAGGAGGGGAAACGTGGTGGAGACGTGCATTGAAATAATCAATCACGGCGAAGGCATGGTCCGCGTGACCACGGATAGGGACGAATTCTTCTTCGGTGAGTTTCTCCTCTTTTATTTTTTTTATTATTATTTTCTCTTTTTTTTCGGATTAAACTCAAAAAAATGTCTTAAAGCCAAAAAAAAAATTTTTTTCAGCCCCTATGCGGTCGGGCAAGAAGAAGAGGTTCAACCTCTTCCGCTCGGACAAATCGTGGCGCACGGACCACCCCTGGGTGCGGCTGCACATGGGCCAATTGCGGTTGATCAACTATGGAAGGACAGCGCCGCTCCCAGACCACTTCGCCAAATTCCTGCTGAGGAATTTGGCCGGAATATCGGAAGTGAGGTTAGAAAATGTTCACTGCGACTCTCTTAAAGAGTAGTGTGAAGCGCGCGGAAAGAAGTACGATTATACCGAGCGGCATTACTAAAAAAAATGTATATTCAATCTATTGTTGATTGTTCTGTTTTTTTTGTTTGAATAAACTACTTATTGTGATTGTTTATTCATTGTAACAGGAATTAGGGTTGTAAAATAAAGTGTAAGCCACAGTTGGCGGGGTCGCAGCCATCGGAAAATATTGGGGGTCATAAATTATTCTTGTTGATGCGCGCCGCCAAATTAATTGCTTTATTTAATGTTGATAGCAGTTGCGCTCGTAAATTTCCTGGGGGATAAACGCGTGTGGACAGTTGCGCGGTTTAAACTTTTCCGGAGGTTAGCATTCCAAGCTAGGTGTAATAGCAACTTGATTAATTGAAGCGCCTAGCATAAATAAAAATAATTATGTAGGGCTTAGGTATACCTTAGGTTTAATTTTGAGCTAGCTGAGCGAACAAGTCCATTGTCTGAAACGTAATTACCATTTTTTCATTATTACTTAGACCTAAAAAAAAATTAGAAGAAAAGAAAATAAAAACTTTTCGAAAATCTCGGATCTCGGATCTCGGTTCTCGGTTCTCGGATCTCGGTTCTCGGGAAAAAATAGCAGGGATTATATTTATAATGACGAAGTAAGAGAGTTAAAAAAAAATTACGGTTTCAAAAATTTTGCGGTCGCAAAAGGAAAGGGAAAAAAATTATGGATGTTTCTTCAAAAATTTTCGGTTTCAGAAAGAAAGAGGGAAAGAAAATCGAAATCTCGGTTCTCGGTTCTCGGATCTCGGTTCTCGGGTCTCGGTTCTCGGATTAAATGATTTTATTAGTTACAAACCTAGATTTAGGAAATTTTTAGATCGACGTTGGGACTGTTCGCAGGACTTTTTTTCCAGATATTAGGTGATTTTTGTACATATTTTATTTTTCTGAAAGGATTAGACATTCTTTTTAGTAGAATAGTGTCGATGTGTGTAAAAAAAAATACTTACAAATTCGTTCGTTTGTGTCCGTCGACAATTCGTTGGAGACGAAGAAGGAAGGGGGGGGGAATAAATTTGCCCAAGAGAAAGTTAATTCTCTTCAAAAAAAATAATATTTAGAATTCCAAAAATTCGGGGGGGGGGGGGTAAAAGGAAGAGAAAAAAAATTTTTTTTCAAGCTGGAAAAAAAAACAGGGGGGGGGGGATAAATTCAAATCTTCCCGGGTCCTCCATGTCAGGTTAAAGGTCTGCAGGTCCTTTACCTGATGTGTAGCGGTAAGTACATAAGCCTTATTTACTAATATTTATTATTAAGGATATATAGAGGGGAAGTGGGGAAAAGGGGAAGAGGCCGCAGGGGCAACCTGCTGGTAGCGGTCGTCGGGGGTCACTGTCCTCCAGCGGGCTTTACAACCCGCTCCAAGAGGAGGGACAGCTGATGTGGACCCGACAGATCCCTTCTATTTTTTCAAAAGAAGTGCAGAAAATTTTGCTCTGAGAAAAGAAATGCGGGAAAGGAAAAAAATTTCTTTAAACTATTTGATTCTAGTTGAGTCTAACTTTGATATTAGAATCCTTAGTAGTCCTGAGAAAGAACGAGAGAAAGAAAATGTAAGAAAAAGGTAAGAGAAATAAGAATCTAGCAATAGAAGCGCACCTCTATCCTATTCGTCGTTTCCCTGAGGTACGGTGGATGGATGAGATTGATTGGCTGCTGGACTACGGTAGTTGGTTGCTGATCTGAGGACTTCGAAGAGAGAGAGCTTGCCGACCGAACTGTGTGGGCACCAAGGGCGGAATGGCCCGAGCTTAACGTCGGAGGGGCGGGTCAACAAAAAAGTTACACTGGGCGGGCGGAGCTAGCCCTTGCAGTAGGAAAGTATAAAATCAATGACCTGGTGTATTTAAAAATATATATCAATATATATTTTATGAATACAATAGTATTTGATTATGAATATGAATATAAATACTTATAGCTAGTCACTGCTGTAGTCGCATAATGAGTCGCTGCTGCAGTTTCCGCCAAATGGCTTCTTGAGGATGCCCTAGTGAGGTAAATTTACAGCCCTTGTTGCGACCTGTAAATTCACAACCCTTATGCGCCCATTATTGTTGTATAAGTTAGGTCATCACTCTTACTTCTGTTTTTTCTGCAGTCAACAGCTTTAGAAATTGCTCTGCACAGGTTTGTAATTTTAACTTATGTTCATATTTCTGTTTCAGCAACTGTTCTCAACTAAGCTCCAGCGAGAAAAATAGAAATGTTCGCCAAAGAAGGAAATAACGCCGCTGCTCGTCAGGCCTCTTGGGAAACCGAACTTATGGCCCGTGAATTGGCTAGAGAAGCCGTTAGAAATGTTTACTCCCCAAGTATGGAAAACCTCATCCGGGGCATCAGCTCGGTTTCAGTAAGTGTATAATTTATTCGTTGGTTCTATATATACTTTAAAGAAAAGGAAAAAAGCTTCTCTTTTTTTGATTTAAATAAACGAAAGAAAAGAAAAACAAAATCTTTCTATGTTATTTTATATTATTGTGTGCTTCTGAGAAGCAATCCTCCGGGAGAGCCTCGATTGAACCAAATGCAGGCTCTGCAATGGAGCAGCGGCCTAGGGGACAACCCCTTCAAGGAGGCCGAATTTCTGTGAAAGCAGCACGAGAAAGTTTGTTTGTTGGAGAGAAAAAAATAATAAATTGCTTATTTCTTCTATCTTCTTTCTTTCTTACGACAAAGAATTTGAAGAAAAAAATTTTTTTTTTCAAATTGATGTATATTTAGGATCTCGAATGGTGAGGGACTTGCAGAGGATGCATGAACTAGTCCCCACGGCACTGGAAATGCACCGGACCAAGGTCCGAGCCCTTCATCCAGAAGAAGAAGAAAAGATGCTCTACCATTTCCTCTAATGGGAAATGTGGTAGAGACCTACACGGAGATCACCGGTCACGGTGAAGGGCAAGTGCGCGTTACGCCGAACAGGACGATATTTCTTTGGTAAGTTTTTTTCTCAAAAATTTTTTCTTTCTCTAACGGAAAATTATTTTATGTATTTATTCAGCTCCAATGAGGACTACAAAAAGGAAAAGATTCAATATCATCCGAGAAGACAAAAGTGGCGCGCCGATCACCCGTGGCTAAGGATTTCGATAGGTGAAGTGCACGTAGTGAACTACGGACGGTGCATGCCAATGCCTCAGGAATTCTTCAAATTCCTGAAAAGGAATCTGGCTGGGATAAACTGAATAACCCTGGACAACATACGTTGTGACTCCCTAAAGGAATTATGCAAAGTTCGCGGTAAAAATTATTCGTACAGCGAACGCCTATATTAGCTATATTTTTTATGCTTTCTGTATTTTATGTCAAACTATTTATTGCAAGTGTTTAATCCATTGTAACAGAAAATAATGTTGTAATTATAGTGTAAGCCACAGTTGGTGGGGTCACAGCCACTGGAAAATATTAGGGGGTCATAAATATTCCTTGTTGATGCGTGCCGCCTTCTTTACTGCTTTGTTTGATGCATATAGCAGTTGCGTTCTTGAATCGCCGCGCTAGTGGACAATTGCGCGATTCAAATTATTCTGGAGGTTAACATTCCACGCTAGATGTAATAGCGATTTGACTTTGGAAGCGCCTAACAAAAATAAAAATATTTATGTAGGGCTTAGGTATACCTTAGGTTTCATTTTGAGCTAGCTAAGCGAACAAGTTCGTAGTCTGAAACGATTACCATTTGATTTTGATCTGAACGTAATTTGATTATTACTGTTGTGTTAGTACTGATCAGTATTCCTCATACCGATGTGCCTCGCGTTCGATCGCAACCTCAGAGTGCGCGGGAATTGATCGCTATAAAAGGTGCTCACTCTTTGCCTCAGTTAGTTCCACAGTTCCATTGTTCAGTTGTTCACTCATTAGGCTCTCATTTTTTGCTCTTCTATTATCTTTAAATATTCGCTTCTGCTCCTGTGCCGTCTCCAGACGAAGAGTGTCCGAAGCTTGAAGGACACATAACAATCACATAGACCTAAAAAAATTAAAAGAAGAAACAAAAAATAAAAACTTTCGAAAATCTCGGTTCTGGGATCTCGGTTCTCGGGAAAAAACAGGGGTGATATTTATAAAGAAGATGTAGAAGAGAATTTGAGAAAAAAATTGCGATTTCAAAAATTTTGCGGTTGCAAAAGGAAAGAGAAAAAAATCATGGTGTTATTTTGAAAATATTCTCGGTTTCAAAAAACAGGGCGTATAAAGAAAATCGAAATCTCGGTTCTCGGTACTCGGTTCTCGGATTAGTTTATTTTATTTAAATCTAGAGAAATTTTATAACGACGTTTAGACTGTTCGCAGAACTTTTTTAAATGTCAGATTATTATTTATACATACAGGGTGTCCGTAAAGTATTAGGTCGTTCCGAAAGTAATGTCGCTTTTTTCAAATGAACGCCACATTTCATGGAATCAAGATTTTCAAGAGATCTTAGGAGCAATCGATGCAGCATTTCATACTCTTTCTAAAAGTTCTATTTTTGCTGCAGAATGTTTGATGAGCTCTCGAAAAATTACCAAAATCTACGACTCATGCTTTTTGCCATTGTCAAGTTCGGCTATTTTTCTAAATTTTTATACCTAATCTGCGAAAAAGTGCAAGTGGCAGGTAGATAGAGCAAACCCTACAGGACACAAAGTAATTTTTTCCGTTTGCTTAGCTTGCTTTTTGAACTTTCTGGAACCACTTTTCAATGTTATCAAATTCCATATTTAGTCAACTTAAACCTCACAGAACAACAACCGGCAAGCAGCTCAGGTGTCATTCGACGCAGCTTTTTCTCTTCTTTTTACCAAATATTTTTTGTTCCCGATTTATCAAACTTTCCGTGATAAAATCATCATAATTCAGGATTTCCAGGGCGCCCCAGGCTGTACACGGAATTTTCGAAAGTTGCTAATCTAAGGCGGTAAACGCTCATTTGCTTTGTAAAATTAGTGTCAAACCATAATCCATCTTTGTAAGTTTCAAAATCCGAGGATTTACTGGTGTTTGATGCATTTGTGTCTGAGACGATCCTGCTAAAACTCGGTGGTCTCATCAAAAAATCTGTACAAAGATTATGACGAGCTCTGGAAAGTAGAAAAAAGTTGTGCTGTTTCCTGTAGGGTTTGCTGTATCCATCAATTACTTGAGATTCTTCGCACGGTTATTGTAAAAATTCAGAAAAATTGTGAAACTTGGCCTTCTCAAAAAGCATGGGTCGCAGATTTTGATAATATTTCGAGAGGTTATTGAATTTTGAGCAATATTTATACAACCGTTAGAAAGGGAATGAAGTGCTGCATCGAATGCTACCAGAATCTCTTACATATCTTTGTTCCACGAAGTGTGGTGTACGTTTGAAAAAGCGACATTACTTTCGGAACGACCTAATATGTATACACTGTTTGATCGTTAATATCTCCCTTCCCAAGAAGTTTTTTGCTTTGCTTCAGGTACCGTTTTGTAGAGCTGGCCTCAACTTAGATTTGCAGTATAGAACGAATCACCCATCTCTCTTCATTACTGTAGGATTACGTAGAAACTTCAAAGAGGGTTTCGAGCCATGAAAGGCCATATTTTGCCTCAGAAAGGGAACAAAACAGCCTGAAAGCTTTTACACTAGGCTAATTAGAGTTGCTGATTCTAACTGTAAAGTTCCCAACTTATTATGATGCTTCATTGAAGAGTTATGCCGGGTTAGATGTAGCGGCCATTTTTTCGTTGTTCCTAAAAAGTGCGTTTACACTGTTCAGAAAATCTTGTAAATATTGAGTATTGAACTCAACGTCCATAAAAACCCTACTACACAAGTTTCACATTTTTTTGAAAAATTTTGAGACGGCAGCTTTTTCCTCATTGACACCATATGTTTCAAGTTTCTACGTAATCCTACAGTAATGAAGAGCGATCGGTGATACGCTCCATACTGCAAATCTAAGTTGAAGCCAGCTCTACAAAACGGTACCTGAAGCAAGACAAAAAACTTCTTGAAAAGGGAGATATTAACGATCAAACAGTGTATACATACTTTACGGACACCCTGTATTTTATTTTCTGAAAGGACTAGATATTCTTTTGATAGAACAGTGTCGATGTGCGTAAAAAATACTCACTGTTTCGTTCGTTAGTGCATGTAGATGGTTCGCTAGAAACGAAGAGGGGAGGGGGGGGGGGGTACATTTGCCCAATAAAAAATTAATTCTCTTTTTAAAAGTAATTTTTGGAATTCTAAAAATTGGGGGGGGGGGCAAAAAGAAATTTTTCCCAAGATAGAAAAACAAGGGGGATGAATTCAAATCTTCCCGGGACCTCCATGTCAGGATAAAGGCTGACCTTTCCTTTCTGATGTGTAGCGGGTAGCTACATAAGTCTAATATATCAATGTTTATTGTTTAGCATAAATAAGGGGAAGGGGGAAAGGGGAAGAGGCTGCAAGGTGCAACCTGCTGGTCGCGGTCGTCGGGGGTCATTGTCCTCCAGCGGGCTTTACAACTCGCACCAAGAGGTGGGACAGCTGTGATGGACCCGACATATTGGTTTTCCTCAATACTTCCAAATTTCTCTCCTTTTACAAAAATAAAATTACGTCACCTGAATTTGAAAAGCCGACATTCAAGGGTTTTTATCGCGCCAGTTTTTTAACTTTGAAGTAAAGTCGTAATATAACCTATAAAAAGTGTATAAATTTGAAAGTATTGAACAAAACCATTAGCATACTCAGAAAAAGCGTGCTTGAAAACCCCTAAATACAAGTTTCTATTTTAATCGGACATATAACGTCACTAAACTTAGAATTAGGGGACGAGTGGCGTAGTGGTATGAGGCGCCACTATGACCAGATCGGACACAGGTTCAATCCCCGCCCCTGGGCCAACCAAGCCCTCTAATCTCCGGGGCCGGTAAATTGGTACCAAAGTAATCTGGGAGAATAAAAGCACTGACTTGGAAACGGCTGGCCCCCGCAAGTCACTGTAATAGGCTCACACGCATACAATTGCCTCTTCGACTGTGAAATTAGTGTGTGCGTTCGGCGCATGCCCCCAGAGGGTATTGAAGACGCCGAATTCTTTATCCTTTTTATTTAAACTTAGAATTCGAAATTTCATTAAAAGTCAGTCTCACGCGTTCCCGGGTGAGGACGACGGTGCTGTGCGCACGGATTGGCTCCGCATATAGTGCTGACTAAGTGCTAATTAACTTGCTGACAACTCATGACCTCTATAACTACGCTGCGGCAAATGCTCTGGGTAGATAAATTCCGTTCCCCCTGCAAAAAAAGAGCCAATTCGCGCTGACCGCTGAGACTCGTGATCGCCTTGGGATCAAAGCGGCTCACCTTTGCTGAACGTGTTCATGGTAGTCAGCGGTGTCGTTAGTTTCGTTGTTTGATCTGTGTTTATTAGTCCAGATTTTGCAACTACGGGGCAGTAGGCTGTCTTTGCGCTTACTCTGGTACTAGATGATTACATGTATTTCACTTGCAACCTGTATGACTCCACGTTGAAAAAAAGCGGCTTTGCTCATTCTTATGCAAACCTTCTTGAACAACTTCAAACACCTCGGATATGATCCCGCATTTGGGGAGACGTTTGTTGTTCAGTGCTTATACGATCTATTCCGCTTTGATTTGTTTTTGTGACACGTGCCTTGGAGAAAATTGTCATTGGCACATGGCTGTTCCGGACGCATGAATCGCAACAAAGAGAAGACTTCGGCAGATTTTTATGCGTTGCTTCTTGCACAAACGCTTAATGGGGCCAGCTGATCTTGTCTTCAAAGAGAGTTAATCAACTAGGGTGTGATAGTGTGATTTCCCGAAGAACACAATTGAAAGCGTTCTCTAACCGTATCCAGTTAAATTTGGCAATTT